CAAACAGTTCCTTAATTCTGCGCTCATTATTCTCCAGGTAATCAAAGGATGGGATATCGGTGTCGCATCAATGAAGAAGGGTGAGAAATGCGTGCTAACGTGTCGTGCTGATTACGCCTACGGAGAATCCGGAAGCCCACCGAAGATTCCCGCTGGTGCTACACTAAATTTTGAGGTATTCGTTGGTGTTCACTCGCACTTTATTCTTACAATTAGACGATTGTGAACTCTAAAGAGAATGTGAGCAGTAGAACATCTCGAAATAGACACTTCAAGTCGTTCATCCGAAGGCATTTCTCGAATAGAACTGTAATATGCAGAGGAGAATACAACAAGCAGTATGAATATATATGCTCAACAGCGAGGAGGATTGCATTTGCAATTGGCCTTAATGAAATGATTTATTATGAGATTCCTAAAGATTCACTGAACTGTGAGATTCTTAAAGCGTGTAACCTCTCATGACATGCAATTGAATGTTAAGGTTGAATTACTTCGATGGCAAGGCGAAGATATTTCACCGGATCGTGACGGAACTATAACACGTTCCATAATTGTTGAGGGAGAGAAATATTCGAGTCCTTCCGAGACATCAACCGTGAAAGGTGAGATCATTTGTATTCGGTGTACTGAGCGAATCCGTGAAGATATCATTTTTCAAAATATCTCAACGTGGAAATCAAGTGAAAACGAAATGTGTTTTCAGTTAATGTGGTTGGTAGCCATGAAGGACGCGTGTTCTTTGAGAAAGAAGTCAGTTTCATCCTTGGTGAAGGCTCTGAGGTATCATCTTTCTGTTCATTTCTCTGAAGACTTGGTTTTTATTTATGTTTGCTCAAGCGAGGAGCAATCGCGTAAGTAGAAAAATGCACAGAAGTTCTGATAAACTATTTTGAAATTATGAAGTCTGGAGGATTTACTCACTAAGATCGGTAGGCGGTTCCAGCTATCGGAAGTAGAGGAAGAAAAGAGATTCTGGGATCTTTGAAAATGCGCTATAAAGTTGCATCTTACGCGTGATAAGAGGACTGTTGTTGTGCTTCCGGTTAAGGTGAAGAGCATCAATGTATGAAAGAGAATATTGCGTGATTTATATGACGTTACTGTGTGATGTTCGAAATATATGGAAAAGTTGATGTTTCATTATTTTGAGTAATTTGTAGTAGAATCTCTGAGAATATGCAGGGTATAATGGATGATTGAAAACGGGTATTGTGATGGGAATCAAATATGGACGATAGGTGATAGTTTGTGCTTTTGTAAAATTCTCGAATGGTAATTTGAATTTCATCTGCAGGTTGGTTTGCCCGAGGGTGTGGATCGTGCATTACGTCGCTTCAATCGTGGCGAAAAATCGGCGATTCATTTGAAGGGTTCCCGTTTCACGTACGGCGCCCACCCTCCGGCTGAATACAATCTGCCACCGAATGCCGAAATTGACTTCACACTGTTCTTGAAAGAATTCGAAAAGGTTTTGTTATTGCAAATTTTGTATTATTTGTTGGTGTTAACGATTGATCGTGCGTCGTGAAAATGGTACCATTTACACATTGAAAGTTATGAGATCACAGTAATGCGAGGTCACTTTATTCAGTCTAGTAATATTTTTCCCCGTGGGTGTTCCTTTAAATGTTGTATGTGCATACCTCGCTGTCTTAGTTCCACTTCACTGTGAATGAACCCCCAAATCTCTCTCTAAAAAATGAAGCTGTATTTTTTTTTCGCGTACTCCGGAAACAATTTTACAAAACTTCATTTGTTTGATCGATTGGAAGTCAGAATAATAACAACAATAATAATGTGATTAGTAGTATTACTCGTTTGGTAAATGCAACTGTATCATGATAGTCCTAGTGTGTAGATAATAAATGAAATCATGTTACAGCGTAGTCAAGTAATGTTACAGCGTTGAATCAGTTGAATGCATTCTGAAGCGATTTTCATTGTTTTAAGTGCAAATCAAAAGGGAATTGTGATATCTGAAAATGTGATTCACAAGTGATTGTTACTGTTGTTTATTACAGGTGAAGGCATCCTGGGAGCTGACTGGTGATGAGAAATTAGAAGCGGCCGAAGCAGCAAAAGCTCGAGGAACGATGTTTCTGCAGCAGAACAAATACAGTCTCGCATTGTCCAAATACGCACGTGTTGTGGAATTGCTCGAGTATGAGAAATCACTGGAGGGCGAGAAAATGGACAAACGAAATGCGCTGCTTCTAGCAGGGCATTTGAACAGGTGTGCGTTAAGTTAAATTGCAAATGTCACCGTTGATATTTGACGTGTTGAGGACAGTATGCCTAGTGGTTTTGAGGGCTTTGTTTGTTTGTTTAAGAGTGTATCTTTCTTTGGATGGTAATGAAAATAATTGTGTTGTAGCGCATTGGTACATTCGAAGCAAAATGAAACAATGGAATGCATAAAACAGTGTGACAAAGCGCTCGAAATTGCACCCAACAACGTGAAGGCACTTTATCGTAAAGCAAATGTTNGGAAGTTTTGTTAGCGTCATATACATCCACTTAGTTGTGGCTCATTACGACTGTAATAGCCTAAAATAGACGTCGAGAAAGAGTAGATCGAAACCTGCGTCTTGGACATTTCTTGTTGAAGACTCCGGCTCTTTGCGTAAACCATTTGTGTCGTGAGCAGACTGAAATCTATATTGTGGTCGTTTTTGTTGGAAAAATTTCTTAGGGATTTATTTCTGCAGGCTCTCCAACAACAAAACGATATCGAAGAGGCAATTGAACTCTATCATAAAGTTATCGAATTTGAGCCCACGAATAAGGTTCGTTTCATTGTCTTCTTCCAATTTTTCATTTCACTTCTGCGTTTTGGAAGAGTCAGCATTCAAGAACAGTATGGTTGCTTAGAGATAATATATCCTCAGAGCTGTACTTGAATGATGATCTGATCTAGAAACTTAAATAAATTAGGGCCATTCGCTCGGATCTGCAGTTATGTTCGTTCGATTGTATGCTTTTAGGCGGCTGTCCAACAAATAGCCATTTGCAAG